TAATTCCGTCCCGAAGTCTGAGGCCGTGGCTGCCAAAGGACGTGGCTGGAGATGGAAGAGAGGAATCGAGGCTTGGCGCCAGACGTGCGTGTGTTCTCCTGGTTTTATTGTACGTGTCTGGGGGAGAAGGAAGTCGTCTATTGACTTAGGCCTAAATCCTCCAACACAGCAAGGTGCCTAACCCCTGCTGATTTCAATGGATCTGGGCCGCAGCGTCTGTCAGGCAGCAGGACCGAACAGTGCCGTGATTGTGAAAGGCAGAGTAGGGCTGCTAGTGAGGGTGGAAGCTCCCAGCCAGCCAGGGCCTGGTGCCCCACCCATGCTCAATCTTCATAGCCAAAAACTATCGTTAACCCTTAACTTCCACGCTTACCTCCAACCCTGCAGCACCTGCAGTCAAATTCTCACCCCCACAACCTGGGCTCCTGCACCACCATTGCTCTTGTGTAGCAATAAGGCAACAACAGGTCATAGAATCATAGAATCATAGAATCATAGAATATAAGGGTTGGAAGGGACCCCAGAAGGTCATCTAGTCCAACCCCCTGCTCGAAGCAGGACCAATTCCCAGTTAAATCATCCCAGCCAGGGCTTTGTCAAGCCTGACCTTAAAAACCTCTAAGGAAGGAGATTCTACCACCTCCCTAGGTAACGCATTCCAGTGTTTCACCACCCTCTTAGTGAAAAAGTTTTTCCTAATATCCAATCTAAACCTCCCCCACTGCAACTTGAGACCATTACTCCTCGTTCTGTCATCTGCTACCATTGAGAACAGTCTAGAGCCGTCCTCTTTGGAACCCCCTTTCAGGTAGTTGAAAGCAGCTATCAAATCCCCCCTCATTCTTCTCTTCTGCAGGCTAAACAATCCCAGCTCCCTCAGCCTCTCCTCATAACTCATGTGTTCCAGACCCCTAATCATTTTTGTTGCCCTTCGCTGGACTCTCTCCAATTTATCCACATCCTTCTTGAAGTGTGGGGCCCAAAACTGGACACAGTACTCCAGATGAGGCCTCACCAATGTCGAATAGAGGGGAACGATCACGTCCCTCGATCTGCTCGCTATGCCCCTACTTATGCATCCCAAAATGCCATTGGCCTTCTTGGCAACAAGGGCACACTGCTGACTCATATCCAGCTTCTCGTCCACTGTCACCCCTAGGTCCTTTTCCGCAGAACTGCTGCCTAGCCATTCGGTCCCTAGTCTGTAGCTGTGCATTGGGTTCTTCCGTCCTAAGTGCAGGACCCTGCACTTATCCTTATTGAACCTCATCAGATTTCTTTTGGCCCAATCCTCCAATTTGTCTAGGTCCTTCTGTATCCTATCCCTCCCCTCCAGCGTATCTACCACTCCTCCCAGTTTAGTATCATCCGCAAATTTGCTGAGAGTGCAATCCACACCATCCTCCGGATCATTTATGAAGATATTGAACAAAACCGGCCCCAGGACCGACCCTTGGGGCACTCCACTTGATACCGGCTGCCAACTAGACATGGAGCCATTGATAACTACCCGTTGAGCCCGACAATCTAGCCAGCTTTCTACCCACCTTGTAGTGCATTCATCCAGCCCATACTTCCTTAACTTGCTGACAAGAATACTGTGGGAGACCGTGTCAAAAGCTTTGCTAAAGTCAAGAAACAATACATCCACTGCTTTCCCTTCATCCACAGAACCAGTAATCTCATCATAGAAGGCGATTAGATTAGTCAGGCATGACCTTCCCTTGGTGAATCCATGCTGGCTGTTCCTGATCACTTTCCTCTCATGCAAGTGCTTCAGGATTGATTCTTTGAGGACCTGCTCCATGATTTTTCCAGGGACTGAAGTGAGGCTGACTGGCCTGTAGTTCCCAGGATCCTCCTTCTTCCCTTTTTTAAAGATTGGCACTACATTAGCCTTTTTCCAGTCATCCGGGACTTCCCCGGTTCGCCACGAGTTTTCAAAGATAATGGCCAATGGCTCTGCAATCACAGCCGCCAGTTCCTTCAGCACTCTCGGATGCAACTCGTCCGGCCCCATGGACTTGTGCACGTCCAGCTTTTCTAAATAGTCCCTAACCACCTCTATCTCCACAGAGGGCTGTCCATCTCTTCCCCATTTTGTGATGCCCAGCGTAGCAGTCTGGGAGCTAACCTTGTTAGTGAAAACAGAGGCAAAAAAAGCATTGAGTACATTAGCTTTTTCCACATCCTCTGTCACTAGTTTGCCTCCCTCATTCAGTAAGGGGCCCACACATTCCTTGGCTTTCTTCTTGTTGCCAACATACCTGAAGAAACCCTTCTTGTTACTCTTGACATCTCTGGCTAGCTGCAGCTCCAGGTGCGATTTGGCCCTCCTGATAACATTCCTACATGCCCGAGCAATATTTTTATACTCTTCCCTGGTCATATGTCCAACCTTCCACTTCTTGTAAGCTTCTTTTTTATGTTTAAGATCCGCTAAGATTTCACCATTAAGCCAAGCTGGTCGCCTGCCATATTTACTATTCTTTCGACTCATCGGGATGGTTTGTCCCTGTAACCTCAACAGGGATTCCTTGAAATACAGCCAGCTCTCCTGGACTCCTTTCCCCTTCAAGTTAGTCCCCCAGGGGATCCTGGCCATCCGTTCCCTGAGGGAGTCAAAGTCTGCTTTCCTGAAGTCCAGGGTCCGTATCGTGCTGCTTACCTTTCTTCCCTGTGTCAGGATCCTGAACTCAACCAACTCATGGTCACTGCCTCCCAGATTCCCATCCACTTTTGCTTCTCCCACTAATTCTACCCGGTTTGTGAGCAGCAGGTCAAGAAAAGCGCCCCCCTAGTTGGCTCCTCTAGCACTTGCGCCAGGAAATTGTCCCCTACGCTTTCCAAAAACTTCCTGGATTGTCTATGCACCGCTGTATTGCTCTCCCAGCAGATATCAGGAAAATTAAAGTCACCCATGAGAATCAGGGCATGCGATCCAGTAGCTTCCATGAGCTGCCGGAAGAAAGCCTCATCTACCTCATCCCCCTGGTCCGGTGGTCTATAGCAGACTCCCACCACTACATCACTCTTGTTGCACACACTTCTAAACTTAATCCAGAGACACTCAGGTTTTTCTGCAGTTTCGTACCGGAGCTCTGAGCAGTCATACTGCTCCCTTACATACAGTGCTACTCCCCCACCTTTTCTGCCCTGCCTGTCCTTCCTGAACAGTTTATATCCATCCATGACAGTACTCCAGTCATGTGAGTTATCCCACCAAGTCTCTGTTATTCCGATCACGTCATAGTTCTTTGACATCACCAGGACCTCCAGTTCTCCCTGCTTGTTTCCAAGGCTTTGTGCATTTGTATATAAGCACTTGAGATAACCTGTTGATCGCCCCTCATTCCCAGTATAAGGCAGGAGCCCTCCCCTCACAGACATTCCTGCCTGTGCTTCCTCCCGGTATCCCGCTTTCCCACTTACCTCAGGGCTTTGGTCTCCTTCCCCCGGTGAACCTAGTTTAAAGCCCTCCTCACTAGGTTAGCCAGCCTGCTCGCGAAGATGTTCTTCCCTCTCTTCGTTAAGTGGAGCCCGTCTCTGCCTAGCACTCCTTCTTGGAACACCATCCCATGGTCGAAGAATCCAAAGCCTTCTCTCCGACACCACCTGCGTAGCCATTCGTTGACTTCCACGATTCGACGCTCCCTACCTAGGCCTTTTCCTTCCACGGGGAGGATGGACGAGAACACCACTTGCGCCTCCAACTCCTTTATCCTTCTTCCTAGAGCCACATAGTCCGCAGTGATCCGCTCAAGGTCATTCTTGGCAGTATCATTGGTGCCCACGTGGAGAAGCAGGAAGGGGTAGCGATCCAAGGGCTTGATGAGTCTCGGCAGTCTCTCCGTCACATCGCGAATCTTAGCCCCCGGCAAGCAGCAGACTTCTCGGTTTTCCCGGTCAGGGCGGCAGATAGATGACTCAGTCCCCCGGAGGAGAGAGTCCCCGACCACCACCACCCGCCTTCTCCTCTTGGGAGTGGTGGTCGTGGAACTCCCAACCTCAGGACAGCGCATCTCATGCCTTCAATGTTGACCTTTAAATGACGACCATTGTGTTACCTAGACAGCAACGACTTTCGTTCTGTGGTTGTACAGCGCCTAGCGCGGTGGGGTCCTGGTCCCAGCCGGGGGCTCCAGTCATAGAAATGCTTTTAATAATCATGCGTAGAACAACTTCTAGAAAAATAGGTTCCCAGCGTGGTTTGCCTGTAGGCACTATATCCGTTCAAATGTCATTAAATCATAACAATGGAACAGCATTAGCAAATACAGCCTCACTTCTGTACAATAAAGTAACTCTTAGTCTTTGCACAGGAAAAATCTTCTTTTCCTTAGGTTACCCCTTAAAACTTTCTCTGGCATATTCGTGTGTTTTTATGCGCTTAGAAGAATGCATATTTATTCTTTCATCCAGTTTAATTCTTTACAAGTTACTCACCCAGCAAGTTTGCTGCCTAGCACTCTGATGGCCAAAAATAGCATCCATTTAGCAGGGGTGTGCACTGGCTTTAGTATCTGCAGTTGTCTCAGCTGTCTGTGTTTGAATCTATGCATTTCAGAACTGTTGTAATACCTCACGTAGCCATTTAGGGGACACGGTGATGCAAGGCCGTGGTCTCCTTCCAGCAGTGGAATGGACGCAAGGAGACCAAGGGAAAATTTCCAAAAGTGTCTAAGTCCCATTTTCAAAAGTGACCTAGTCATTTCCCTTGAGTTTCAGTAAGTGTTTGATTCCCTTTTGAAAATGGGAGCATTTCACCCCAGATCTCTCATTATGCTAAAGCTTCATAGGAAGTTGGGATGGAGGGCCAGAGACGGGATCCAAATTTCAGCGAGGGAGTTTAGATCCAAGTTTTTCATTGGCGCTCATCTGTAAAATAAACACGAAATACTAGAGGCTGCTCCCCACCCTATGGCCTCGGACAGTCGAAACGGATTAGAGAAAGTGACAAAGATCGGCAAATCTCCCAGTATTAAAAATGAATGTCTTACCCATAGATGTCTATAGAGACCTCTGTGCCCACCACACAGACGGCGTAGCTGGGACTCTCGGTGGACACCCGGACTCTCTGCTGCGTCATGGTTGGCCTTGGACCATAAACGTGTGTGAAGTGTGCGGCTGTGCTCCTGTGCTGTTCTGTTTTTACAGGCAAACCAGCATGACTGGATTACAAGGCATGGAAAATTTGTTCCACCCTCCTCCCTTCCCTTTCTGAACTGACTAGCTGGAGGCACAGTCCCTTCCCCCTCCAAGGTCTTTACCTACTTCTGTTTTGGCTTTATATTAGGGGGTGAGGGAAGAATGGGCCGGAGCTGTGTTGATCCAAGCCCCAGTTGGAGTTTGTCACTTCCAAGCATTGACTGCATGGTAGACACAGGCTCGCGGCAAACTCAGGTGTGGAAGATAGGACAGTCATGGGCATTTGCATGGTGTGTTGCTCCTGGGGATGATCATATGGAGCACTTCACACGGGCTAAGGGCTTTATAAGGTTACTTGATTCTTAAAACCCCCTCTTGGGGTAGACAAACGGGAGGGTTATAGGAGGTGGTGTCCAGACCCAGCTCTGGGTTCCATTCTGCCCAGAGGTCTGGGTTCAGGTTCAAGGCTGAATCGAGGCTATGGGTAGGATCAAATGGTGGCGAAATCCCATGCCATTTTTGGCTTCATCTGAGCAGAGCCGGCCTTAGGAAAATTGACACCCTGGGCCAACTTGTATTTTATCATCCCTGGGCCCCGCTGCCTCCCCACCCATCCCTCCATTGTCCCTGGCTCCCGCTGCCTCCCCCTCCGTGGCCTCCTCCTGCAGGCCCGCCCTGCTCTGCTCCTTGCATCATTACTGTGGAGCCTCCCCTGACTTCGGCATTCACCCCATGTCACTCACCCGGAAGGCCAGCCCTGCATCCTTTTTGTTCTGTGTTTGTACAGCACCTAACACAATGGGGTCTTGCTCCATGACTAGGGTTCCTAGGCACCACCACACTACAAATAATAAATAATAGTAGCAGGCTCCTTCTGCTGACCCCCTGCACAGGGTGGAGTCCATCCTGTCTGACGTTGCACCAGAGGGGAGAAAAGAGAGTCCTTTTCACTTTGCACAGTGACTCTGGATCTCTGACCCCAACTGAGGTGGCTCTGTTTTACCCAGTGAAAATATCTGTTAACTTGGACTGGGGAGAAAATGTCTTCCCAACAGTCTCAGGGGTCGGCAACCTATGGCATGCCAGCCGATTTTTAATGGCACGCTGCTGCCTGCCGCCGGCCCCACTCAGCCCGCTGCCGAACCCAGGCCGGGACCCCGGCAGGCAGCAGCGAGCCATTACAAATCCTTCCCACCCTGGCCCGCTCTTCTCCGCCCCCCCCCCTCACCCCGGGGCAGGGTGAAGAAGCTTGGTCCTGCCGGCTGCTGCTGCAGGGCAAGCAAGGTCCCCCCTCCCTCACCTCTTCCCCCGCCATGCTGGGTTCCTGCCCCTCGTCCTCTCCCTCCCTGCCGCCCATCAGCTGATAGCCCTTGCTGGGGAGGGGGAGAAGTGGGCCTTGGGGAAGGGTGGTAGAATCAGGGCATATCCCCCCCAGCCCCCTGCCACGAGCCCGCTCTGGGCAGGGGGCTGGGAACACCCCCACGGCCCTAGCCCACACCCCCAGCCCTCTGCCCTGACCCCTGCACCCCCCTCACATACCCCCAGCCTCCTGCCTGACCCTGCACCCCCCCACACCCCAGCCTCCTGCCCTGACCCCTGCACCCCCCTCACGACCCCAGCCCTGACTCCAGCACCCCCAGACATACCCAGCCTCCCCACACCCCATGTCCTGACTCCTGCACCCCCCTCACAGGCCCCCAGCCCTCTGCCCTAACTCCTGCACCCCCTCACACGCCCCCAGCCCTCTGCCCTGACTCCTGCACCCCCACACATACCCAGCCCCCCAACACCTTATGCCCTGCCTCTTGCACCCCCCACACATTCCCACCTGCACCCCTCGCACCAAATGGGAGCTGCCCAGGTAAGCACTCCACACCCAAACCTCCTGCCCCAACCCTGAGCCCCCTCCCTCATTCTAGCTCCTGGCCAGACCCTACACCCCAACCCCCAGCTTGCTCCTTCACCCCCAGCCCTGTGCTCAGTGCACTCCCACCCTCAGCTCAGTGCAGAGAGAGAGGAAGAGAATGGGCTAGAACCAGGGAGAAGGTAGGTACCCACTGTATGTGGGCAGGGCCAGGATCCCAGACTGGCAGCGGGCTGAGCGGAGCCGGCGGACTGAACCCTAGACCGGCAGCGGGCTGAGTGGCAGCGAGCTGAGCCGCTCAGCCCACTGCCGGTCTGGGGTCCCCGCCGCCAGCCCCGCTCAGCCCGCTGCTGGTCTGGGGTTCTGGCTGCCGGCCCCGCTCAGCCCACTGCTTGTCTGGGGTCCCAGCCGCCGGCCGCTTGCCAGCCGGGGTCCTAGCTGCCGGCCCTGCTCAGCCCACTGCGGGTCTGGGGTTCTGGCTGCCGGCCCTGCTCAGCCCGCTGCTGGTCTGGGGTTCTGGCTGCCAGCCCCTTGCCAGCCAGGGTCCCGGCCGCCGGCCCCGCTCAGCCCGCTGCCGGCCTAGGTGAACTGAACCCCAGGCCAGCAGCGGGCTGAGTGGGCCGGCGGCGTAAGATCTGCATTTTAATTTAATTTTAAATGAAGCTTCTTAAACATTTTGAAAACCTTGTTTACATACGGCAATAGTTTAGTTATATAATATATAGACCTATAGAGAGAGACCTTCTAAAAAACGTTAAAATGTATCACTGGGACACGAAACCTTAAATTAAAGTGAATAAATGAAGACTCGGCTCACCACTGCTGAAAGGCTGCAGACCCCTGGTCTAGAATGAATCAAAATAAGTACTGGATACCAAAAGGAGCCGACGTACTCATAGACTTTAGGACTAGAAGGGACCATCAAGGTCATCTAGTCTGACCTCCTGCACATCACAGGCCACTGAACCTCACCCACCCACTCCTGTAATAGATCCAGAACCTCTGGCTGAGTTATTGAAGCCCTCAAATCATGGTTTAAAGACTTCAAGTTACAGAGAATCCACCATTGACACTAGTTTAAATCTGCAAGTGACCCATGCGGCAGAGGAAGGCGAAAAGACCCCAGGATCTCTGCCAATCTGAGCTAGGGGGAAATCCCTTCCTGACCCCAAATAAACCAGTCAGCCGGACCCTGAGCATATGGGTGAGAATCAGCAGCCAGACACCTGGGAAAGAATTCAGTAATTCAGAGCCCTCCCCAACTAGTGTCCCATCTCCAGCTGTTGGAGATATTTGCTAACAGCAACCACGGATCAGCTCCATGCCATTGTAGGCAGTCTCATCCTACCATCCCCTCCATAAAGTTATCAAGCCCAGTCTTGGAGCCAGTTTGAGGATCTTAACAAAGCTTGTTCCAGAATCACTGGCCTTTTGCTGACAACCAGCAAACCCTCCTAGCGTAGATGCAGCTTCTGCTGGCATAAAAATGCTTCTGCAAGCATAGCTGATACCTGTTCCCTGGGAGACACAAGCTGTACCAGCAGAAGAACTTGTATGCCTATGTAAGTGTTTAGGGCTTATACCGACACAACCATATGTTGGTTAAAAAAAAAATCACACTTGTAACTGACATAATAATGTCAGGATAAGTTGTAAGTGAATACCGGCCATAGTAAATTTAGTTGAAGGTTCTTTGTTCAGGGGTGTGATCTTTAGACAGGTTTCATTGTAATGCCTGTTATAATCCCTGTGTTTTCCGGTTGCCTTTTCTTTTTAGAAATATTTTAGTTCTAGAGCCACTTAATAGATACATTTTCTTCTCTCGGTTGGTCAGTTGCAACTCTGCCTGCTTCAGGAGCACTGACTGAGGTGTAGACACTTTCTACATTAGCGGAAGAGGTTTTTCCATCAATGCAGGTCATCCACATTTCTGAGAGGCCGAAGAATTCTTCTGCCAACCTACCTGTATCCACAGTGGGGGTTAGGTCGGCCCCAGTAAGTCACACTCTGAGCTAAATTCTTCACAGCCCTGAGCGACATAGCTAGGGTGACCTATGTTTTAGGCATAGACCAAGCCCAAGGCACCTTTATACCCATAGAACTCCATCCACACCGTATAGGGGGTTGTGCGGCTTTAATTACCCTGGTAAAGTGGTACGAGTTCTGTAGACAAGCCTTTAATGCCCGTGAAGGAGTTGGTCATGGGAAGCTATGACAGAAAAACTGCTCACAGCCATTTAATATTTAAATGTTTAAAACTCTTTAAAAACCTGCAGTTTGCTGGGTCTGATCCTGCCCCGTTGAAGTTCATGATTTCAGTGAGATTAGGGTCAAGGTTATAAAGAACCAAATTTCATGGAAGGAGTGGTACTGAGGACTGCACCTTTAAGGGCTGAGCTTCCTAGACAGAGTCTGGGTGAAGTGCTGGGATAGCTCTTGTTTAACATGGAGTCTTGTTTGCACAAACATATTATAAGCTTTGACTGTATATACACTGATATACTTTAAACTGCACAACCACCCCAGTGTGGACACAGGTGTAATAATACTGTACCTACCTCACAGGGAAACTATGAGAAGGAATTCTTATTTGTTATCTGTCGTGAGATCTGTGACTGGAAAGTGCTATATAACCGTGCAAGTGACATTGTCACTGCTTATCAGTGAGTTCCTGGCTTGAGCTGGGCGTAGTGCTAGCTTCCTCAGGTTGTTCTGGCATCTGCAGACCAGTCCTGAGCCACCCGCTGCCCCGATAACTCCCCTCATTCCTCTCCCACAGTGCCCTGCTATTCCAGTCCACAAGCTGCAATGAGAAATGAACCAAGATCGAGAACCTTAGAATCATAGAATCATAGAATATCAGGGTTGGAAGGGACCTCAGGAGGTCATCTAGTCCAACCCCCTGCTCAAAGCAGGACCGATCCCCAACTAAATCATCCCAGCCAGGGCTTTGTCAAGCCTGACCTTAAAAACTTCTAGGGAAGGAGATTCCACCACCTCCCTAGGTAAAGCATTCCAGTGTTTCACCACCCTCCTAGTGAAAAAGTTTTTCCTAATATCCAACCTAAACCTCCCCC